GCAAAGGCGAGCTCTGAGAAGAATTGTTAAATAGAAAATTTTTACTTCTCATTTCTATTACAAACCTATTGCTAGGCTAAAAATTTGTCTTGGAAATAGAAAAATGAAATTGCGGTGCCTAATGGATTTTTATTTCAAACATTTTCTCAAGAAACAGAAAAATAGAAAAACAGATAAATATAATGATTATCATTTGCACTCATATCTTTCTTTCATTTCTTTTAGGTTTTCTACACTAGGGGCCTGTGTAAGTGGTTCAAGAAAGATTTTTTTTTTTGGTGTAAAATGTAAGTATTATAAAGTAAATGAAGAATGGTAGCTTAGGGGCATTCCCCAGCATTACAAGAGGTACGAGTTCAAAAAGATAGAGGTAGGAAGTCTCCATATAGTAGCCAAAACAACATTTGTCTAGGAATGTCAAATTTTTTGGAAGAGCGAAACTCTACCTCTTACATTTTTACGCATATTAGCTAGAATAATATGGATATCAGATGATTTGTTTTGAAATTACCTATAGTTGCGCTCCATTTAAATGACATATATGGTTGCTAGAAAGGAAACCTTGAGGAGTTTGCCGCAAAGTCTTTGCCTTTTGTTGCGGCAAAATAACACCAGAAGTGCCAAAAATTATATACGGTGCTCACTTTAGTGTTAAAAGTTTTCACCGGCTCACTTAAGTACCAAATTGAAGAAAAAACTATCACTTAAATGCCAATGGCGAGAAATTCCGGCTAAATTAATTACGTGACCCTTACAATTATAAATTTATGTCGAGGTGGAATATCATTTTAAAAATAATTCTCCACGTGGACATCCAAAATGATGTTGCACGCTCCTACATGGCAAATTGCATCAAAACGATGCTGTTTCCTCTCCCTCACTTGGACGACATTGCATGGCTTTGAGATCTTGTTATCTCAGACCAATCGTCGTCGACATCCTTGTCGGCATCACCATCGCTTGTCGTCGCTCATCGTCGCTCGCTTCATCATCGCCGTCGTCGTCATTTGCTCGGCCACCATCATCGCTCACCATCGCGTCTATGTAACCCAGGTTTGTGATCTTCACTCACTGGTTCAATTTCTGGAAAAATTAGGGCTCTGAGGCAAAAATTAGGGAACCGATGGCAAAATTAGGGCTTGGAGGGCAAATTTTGGGGCTCAGGAAAAAGTTGGGTTGTGATTGTGGGTAGGGACCTCGATTTCTTTAATCACAATGTCACTTTCTTTTGTGAGGACGATGGTATTTGCAGTCGTGGGGACCTCAATATGTTTAATCATAATGATGTTGCTTAATCACATCAAATTGTTTGATCACAGTATCAACTTGCAGCCATGGGATCCTCAATTTGTTTAATCACATTATCAATAGTGATCTTGCGATTGTGGGTAGGGACCTCAATTTGTTTAAACAATTCGATGTTGCTTTGTTTCCACTAAACAATGCATGTGATTTCTTTTCCACTAAACGACAAAAGTCATTGATAATATGGTTATGTATTTGTAGCATGGGAGAACTTCAGAGGTGTTCATCTCTCAAAATAGCCTAAGTCAAGAGTCAAGGGCTATACCCAAAAGAAGAACTTAACCAAGGTTAACTGGAGCACAATCCAGTAAGAAGAGTGCTCTAAAACAAACGACACAAGCGGCAGGTCTAAAGACAATATCACAGGCTAAGAAGAAAAAGCCAAATGTAGTTTCAGTACAACAACCTCCAAGTCCAATATAACAACCTCCAAATCCAGTTATAGTTAGAAAGAGTGCAAGGATTCAAGCCAGAGGTCCATCTAAAGGGAAAAGGACAGGGGTTGTACATATTGACGACTCATGGGAGGGGGTGCTAGATATAGTAGTTTCTATTTTTTGTTGGAAGGTTATGCTGGATATGGTGGTTTTTATGTTTTGTTAGAAGGTTGTTCATATGGTAGTTTTTGTTTTTTGTTGGGAGATTCATATGTTTTAGTTGGTTATTAAAATTGACCAAATGTAAAGACTATGTTCAATGTATGGATCAATATTTATTTTGTCTATATTTTTGCTATTTCCATATTTTGCTTTTGATTATGCTAGTGTGTCAGACTAGATTGTGCATGTTGTGCTTGGTGCTGGTGGAGCGCTTGCACCAGTTGTATATACTACTAGTGGTGGTGCAAGCACAAGATGCATTAGCACGTACTGGTGCAGAGTATTGTGTTTGCACTAGCAAGCATAAGACTGCACTGGCAGCTTGGTAGTGCTAGTGGCCGAGTGGTGCTAGTGGTACTGGTGGTGCTAGCGCTAGTGGCCAAAAGTGGTGCTGGTGGTTTTGGTTGGTGATGTGAATGGTTGTAATGTTGTATGCTAATGCAAGGTTGTGATGAGGCTAATGTTATTTTTGGAAGTGATAGGCTCATGTTTTATTGCTGGTGGAAATTGTGAGTGTTGGTGCAATTGTGGGTACTAGTGCAATATTTGCATCAGCAGTTTTATGTGTTGGTGCAAGTGCAAGATACATCAACAAAGCTGGTGCAGTTCTGAGTGCTGGTGCATCTTGTTGCACCGATAGTTGTGCTCGTGCAAGAACAAGATGCACCAGCACCTTTTTAACCACAACCGGCACTTAAAATGATCACTTTCAAGCACGACTTGCACTTAAGTGATCATTTTCAAAAAAACTTGACACTCAAACAATCACTATTTACAACTTATTGCACTAAAATAGTTACTTATGAATTTGTTACCGCTCCTTAATTTGGCCATGGTTTGCAGCAAACTAGCAAACCATTACCAAGCAAAACATGCAGCAAACCATTACTTGTGGAGCAAACCAAACACTTGAAGCAAAAACTAAGCAAACCAACATCGAGAATACACAACTAAGCAAAAAAGCTTTTAAGTGCTCACAACCAATGAATTCCAACCTTCCATTTCACCATAGATTGTAGCAAATCTTTTGCTCCATACAACAATTGCAGCAAACCAACAAACACAACTATACTTAGAAATAACCCAATACAAGTTCAAATTTCACCGATCTTTGACTATGGTAGACGTACGAACTTTTTCTCATTACTCACTTGACATTTGACCATAAAATAGGCTACACAAGAGAACAACAACACTATCAATGCTTGATAAAAGTTTCTTTCAGTTTTCAGCCTTGAAACTTCCTTGTTCGAATGGTTGGCCAGAGTTGTTAAAGCCTTCACTTGAGCTTACATTGAGTCGACATCCTCTAACTCCTCCATTAATGTAGGCGGAGGTTGATGTTGTCCTTCAAGTAGTTCCAAGATCACCTCTGTAACTAGACCAGAGAATTTTGCATCGAGCCATTTGAAATATATGCACTTCGAGTCTTCTCTATGCCTGACGCATCCATGGAATCTTCTCTTAGGATTCAACCGAGTCCAAGATGTTCTTATTGGACTCGATAACCCACACTAACGGTAACACTCACCATCTAGTTCGATTAGTTGGGATGAATGTGAGCCGCTATAGAAGCTCCTGCTCTCCATTTGCAAAATTAAGCCAGTAATTTTGGGGGCGAACTGAAATAGGTGATCAAATTGGCCGATTAGGTTCAAATTGGGGGTTTTCTTTTAATTTGGGGATTTAGGATTCTTATTTGGGGGAAATCCACCGAACGACGTCGTTTTTATTGTTGACATGCTGACTGGACCTCCAGTGACCCACATCAACTTCAGAAATTAATAAAAAAGGCTACATCGGATTTTCGACCAATCAGATCGGAGTTGGCACTTAATTGATGGTTTCAAAATATTTGGCACCAAAGTGAGTGCCGTACATAACTTTTGACACTTGTAGTGTATTTCTCTTCTTTTGTTGCCCTAATCATCCATTGAAGTTCCTCATTACATCCTCCTAGAGGACACCTAATCCCATGTTGTGCAAGGATACTGTGCCAAATGATGCATGTCCACTCACATTAGAAGAATAAATGTGTTTTGTCTCCTATACAGGCCGTGCAGAAGTTAAACTGGATATCAACTGAAGTCATCCATTGGCCGATAATATTTGCTATTGGTAGTCTATTTTTGCAAACGAGCCAGCCAATAAAATTGTGTTGGTTAATTCCACTAGTCCAAATCATGTTATACCACACAACCGGTCTCACATGTCTGAGTTCATCATAAATTTCTAGGCAATGATACCCTGAGCTATGGATAACCGAAGTTAGAAAAGGTCGCAATTTAAGGGGACATCACCAACTCCAAGCCATACTACCCCTAATGTTGATTTGCATAATTGGAGTGCCTCTGCATTTGGTGTTGTGAACCCATATACTCCAAAGGGAAGAGGATGGCCGATTGATGATGTTCCATAGCATGCGACCTAACAATACTTTGTTCCATAAGTTCAAATCGAGCAATCATAATCCTCCTTTCCTTTTAGGTGAGCAAACTACTTGCCATCCACCTTGTGCGATCCATGATTTCCTATAGTAATTGTCCACAAAAATTGACGAATCCTCTTCTCAACGTTGTATATGATTTGCTTTAGAAGTAAGAATATTTGCATCCAATAGGTAAGATGGAGATTAGGACTGCTTTTGCATCAAAATGGTTTAAGAAAGATTTCGCAACAATAAAAGCTATCTAGACTTTAGACTTTTGTTACTGGCATGCTGGGTTCTATCTACCTCCTATGCCTTTGTCCTGAATTTTTGTCTCACAGTCTTCACATTAGCAACTTAAATGTGAAATTTATATCTCAAGAGATTCCTTTGACAATAGTTACCAATCCTTTTTATTTGGGTTTTACGCAAATTAGGGGTGAGCGCGGTTCTAGGGTAGAATCGGGAACCAGAGAACCGAACCGATGGGTCCGGTTCGGTTCTAGGTTCTATGGGGAAAGGGTCCGGTTCCCGGTTTCCCATTTTTAGGAACCGCCGATTCTCGGTTCGGTTCCCGGTTCCTATAGGAACCGGAACCGGAACCGGGAACTAGATCCCTAATACAGAAACTAAAATCCCTAAATTATTGTTCTTATTTTTTCGTACTTTTATTTCTTTCTAGTTTCCACTCTGCGACTTTTCCTTTCCTTGATGAGGACTTTTCTTTTCCTTTCCAGTTTCCACTTGCAACGAAGCTCTCAGTCTCGGTTCTCAACTCTATCGTTCTCAATCTTCACCGCGACGCCATCTCGTTCGTTTGCTGTCACCAACCAACTCAACGTCGTCGGCCGCGGCTCAGTGAGCGACCATCTTCTCTCTGATTTCTCTCTCTTTATCTGTTGAAGTTTGCGCGATTGGGGTTTAGTTCTGCACTAGGGTTACTCTTGGTTTGCTAGTGTTGCCAACGCGGTTGTTATTGGTTAATTCCATAGCCTACTCTTGGTCTGCTAGTGTTGTCGATGCAATTGTTGTCGGTTTAGTTTGGGGTTAGGGCTTCTTTCTCTTGGTCTGTTAGTGCTACCGAATGCCAACGAGATTGACAGTGCTGTTGTGTCTTCCCCTAGCCTGTGAGTGTGCAGTGTCCATCTGCCGATGAGATTGGTGGTGGTGATGGTGTCGTGTCTTCCCTTGGCCTGTGAGTGTGTTGTGTCCAATGTGAAGCCACGGAGAACAAGCAAAGAAAGGAAACAAAGTCTTTCGTCTTTAGTCATGAGGAGGATTATGTTGCGAACTTGTACCTCCCTAACCTTTCCCTGCCCAAATTATTTCTCTAGAAACGGGATAAGTATAGCGCAAGTGCCGTAACTTTTGTACGGAGGACACTTAAGTGCCATAACTTTTTTTGGCTCACCTGAGTGCCATAACTTTCAAAAAAATGATCACCTAAGTGCCACTTACGAGCTGATCGTGAGGACCCGAAACCGCGGCTTTTCCGACCGAACGGTGACCTTCCCGGCGAGGCGAACACCACCAGCTTGAAGAGGGGGTGTCGGTGAATCATTCCATGGCCTCCGTTCGTCTCGAAATTTCCATTTTAGCCTCCGTTGACGAAGGTAAAAATACTTCGTAGTCACACAATTTATCGAGCCGATTTGTGTGACTACGAAGCATTTTTACCTTCGCCAACGGAGGCTAAAACGGAAATTTCGAGACGAACGGAGGCCATGGAATGATTCATCGACACCCCCTCTTCAATCTGGTGGTACTCGCCTTGCCGGGAAGGTCATTGTTTGGCTTGAAAAGCCGCGGTTTCGGGCCCTCATGACCAACCCCTCTGACAAGCTGGTCGTGAGGGCCCGAAACCGCGACTTTTCTGGTCGAACGGTGACCTTCCCGGCGAGGCGAGCACCATCAGCTTGAAGAGGGGGTGTCGATGAATCATTCCATGACCTCCGTTCATCTCGAAATTTCCGTTTTAGCCTCCGTTGACGAAGGTAAAAATGCTTCGTAGTCACACAAATCGGCTCGATAAATTGTGTGACTACGAAGCATTTTTACCTTCGTCAACGGAGGCCATTGAATGATTCACCGACACCCCCTCTTCAAACTGGTGGTGCTCGCCTTGCCGGGAAGGTCACCGTTCGACCGGAAAAGCCGCGGTTTCGAGCCCTCACGATCAGCTCGTAAGTGGCACTTAGGTGATCATTTTTTTGAAAGTTATGGCACTCAAGTAAGCCAAAAAAAAGTTATGGCACTTAAGTGTCCTCCGTACAAAAGTTATAGTACTTGCGCTGTACTTATCCCCTCTAGAAACAAATGAGACCTTAGCCCGATTAGCCTCTATTTCTCATCCCATTCATTCTCAAAAGCTAAATGATCCCCCCCCCCCCCCCCCCAAAAAAAACACCTTTAATGTTTTATCTTGAATTTTGATTGTTTATCATGTTAGTGATTACTTCCTCTATTGTTGTTCATCTGTGACACGGTTGATCATTTAGAGTGGAAAGATCATTAGCCTATTTTATTGCAGTGATTTGCAAAAAGCTATCAGAGCACTTAAGTCTAGGTTCTTTAACCTACTCTTTTTTTTTTTTTTTGCAGCTTGAACAGCAACCTAGATCCTTGGCCTACTAGTCGTTGCATCGGTTTCAGCCTTCTGTGTAGTTCTCTTGTAGTCTTGTGTGCTTTGGCTACAATTTGGTTGATCAAAAGGAAACATATCAGAGGTGACTTCTTCTAATTCTGGTCGACAATGTTTGACAATATTTCTATGGTAGTTTCATTAAGAAAGATAAGGTGGCAAGTTAGCAACTCGACCATTTTTATCCTCGCGAGAGTCCACTATTTCCCTTTAAACTATGTTTTCCTTGTTAAGTTTTGGCAAGTCATGAAGTGATCTTATAAGAAAGCGAGAGAATAGATAGACAATAATTGCAGGCATGTAGAGTTTAATCCATAGAACTGTGGAATTGTTACTCGTAGATTGAAATGGATTAGATTTGGAAAAGGCAAAAAATATATCAAGGTGTCTGTATGTTTATGTGGCTAATTTGAGTAGTACAGCTTGAGGTATTATAAACATTGTCATCGCTGCTAGAGGAATGAACAAGACAAGTTTATGTGCTTTGGTTACTAGTTTAGTTTTCCTTGTTTCAAACTTTCAATTAAGCGCGGAGATGATCTGGGTTGTGTGTGTTTTCCCCCCTTTTGCATAGTTTGTGAAGATGAGTTTGCTGGTCAGTAAGTGCTTATTAGCTTCAGATTATTCAATGAAGTATTGAGCTTCGTCACGAGAAAGTGAAGACCGAATGAGAAGATATCTACATACCACCGATTAGCTGACGTGGGGTTTAACAATTAGATATACTAGAGGGACCCATGTTCAAGGCAGCAAAGAAGGATGTGGGGGGAGGGGGAAGGGGGGGGGGGGGAGATGGTCTTGTTGCTGAAAAGGTTCAATTTGAAGATGAATGACAAAATGCTTGCTAGGAGTTGAGTAGCAAGATAAGATATAAGAGATTGATTCTTCATTATATGTTTACCCGTGCGTTGTTCACTTGTTATGTAACTTCTGTTGTTCTTGCGGAGATTTTTTTTTTTGAAAACAGGAAAAGTTCCAGTTATTATCCATGACTATTCTTTTTCTTATAAGGCTTGCGAAAATGTTCTATTATCGTGTTGTTTGATTGACTATTCAAGTGCTCTCAGCTAATTTATTCTTGTGTTGTTTGCCTGGCTAGTGTTGTTTGCTTGACGTATCAAGAATTCAAGATAACATGTCAATGGAGGTTGAGGGATGTAAGGATGTGAGTCCGATCACAGAATTGGAATTGTCGGGCAATGAAAATGAAGAAGAGCCATCCCTTGGCATGAGTGCGACAAACAAGGTACTTGGTTCTCGTCTTCCTCCTCGTGATAAAAAATATACATCCGAATGTTGGAATCATTATGCAAGAATCAAAGATGGGGATGGAAAAACATATGAGGTGAAATGCATTCATTGTGGGTCTGTGTTTATGTATTGTGTTGCTAACGGTACTTCCGCAATGACAAAGCACTTGACAACATGCAAGAAGTTTCCTCGCACTGTAGATAAGAGGCAGAAATTTTTTGCACCACGTAATGTAGATGTGGCTAGCAAGGCAGGGGGAAATTCTAGTACTGGTAGTGTCTTATCGACATGGTCTTTTAATCAAGAACGTTGTAGACAAATGCTTGCTCGATTCATCATAGTTGATGAACTACCTTTTTTCTTGGTTGAGCGTGTTGGATTTCGTGAGTTTGTCACAGAGTTACAACCTCTCTTTAAACATTTATCACGTTTTACGGTGGCTAAAGATTGTATGAAGCTGTATTTTTGTGAAAGAACTTGTTTGAAGACTTACTTTGGTAAGATTAATTCTAGGATCGCACTCACGACCGATACATGGACTTCCATTCAAATCCTAAATTATTTGTGTCTCACTGCACATTTTATTGATGAAAATTGGAAATTGCATAAAAGAATCATCAATTTTGTGGTGATGCATAGTCACAAGGGTAGAGAGATTGGGAAAATGGTGGAGAAATGCATCAACGAGTGGGGAATAGAAAAAAAAGGTGTCCACAATCACCGTGGATAATGCTAGTTCAAATGACGTTGCAATTGATTGTTTAAAGGAAAGACTTTCAAGAGAAAGGTTGTTGATCTTAGATGGTAGTGTTTTACACATGAGGTGCACCGCTCATATATTAAACTTGATGGTGAGAGATGGCTTGACTAGGTATGGGAATCTATTGCACGTATCCGAAATGTGGTTAGGTATGTGAGGAGTTCTCCCATGAGAGCCAACATATTTAAATCTTGCATTGATGGTGAAAAGACTACTTACGAGGGTTCGGTTATTCTTGACGTCACCACGAGATGGAACTCCACTTACCTCATGTTAGACACCACCATAAAGTTTAGAAAAGCTTTTGAAAGGATCGAAGAAGACGATCCATCTTTTGCCGGTGAGCTTAACCATGATCTTCCTAAAGATGATGATTGGGAAAATGCCATTATTCTTTCGGAATTTCTAAAACTATTCTATGATACCACTAATCGGATGTCAGGGAGTTCATATATTACCTCAAATGATTATTTTGAAGGGATAGCTCTTTTGTATAAATATTCGAAAGATGCGGTGGATGCTTCGAATCCTAAGCTTCAAGTTATGGGTATGAAAATGAAAGAGAAATTTGATAAATACTATGGGAGTTTGGATAAAGTGAATATGTTGGTGTCGATTGCGGTTGTATTGGATCCTAGAGCCAAGTTGAGTTATGTGAATTTTTTGTATGGACAAATTTATGATGATGAATCGAAAGTTAATGAGATGCATTACAAGGTGAAGGACGCATTGGAGCGTTTATATGAATTTTATGAGCAATCTTCTCTTGCTTCAAGTAATCGAAATTTTGGTGCCCAAAGTTTGAGTGCTAGTTGTAGTGGTTCCAATGCCAATGCTGGTGGTAGCGAAGGTAACAAGATCAAGAAGTATGACATCCAAGCTTGGCGGAGAACCTTTATGCACTCGAACCAACAAGTGTGCAATGACAACAAATCTGATCTTGATCAATATCTTGAAGATGAAAATGAAAATATTCTTGATCTTGATCTTTTGATGTGGTGAAAGACTAGTGGCTCAAAATATAAGATCCTATCTTTGATGGCTCATCGGGTCGTGTGCTTGATAGCTTTCGAAGTTCTTTGACTTCCAAAGTAGTAGAAGCTTTGATTTGCACTCAAGATTGGTTGAGAGCCGTTCGTGTGCCGATTAATGTTGAAGAGTGCATCGAGAATGCAGAAAAATTTGAGTTGGGTAAGTGATGTTCTGTTTCTATCTTTATGTATTGTAATTCCTTTTATATGTCTAATAAGTGAATATTTTATTAATCTTTTTTTTAGATATGGATTGTCTTAATGAGGAAATTATCGTCGATAAATAGAATTTACGAGTTGAAGCAGAATGGATCAATGAATACATGTGGTGAGGCTTTCTAATACTTTTTTTTTTCTGGAGAGTTGTTGTTCTTGTTAAATTTTGTTTATTTTGTGAAGGGCAAGAAAAATGGTTCAGCAATCTAGAGAATTTACCCATCTTTCACGCAAGAAAAAAAGATTGTGAAATGGGGGATGCTAATTTGTGATGTTGCATTGTCGCTACGATGCACCCTTTTGATATCTAGATGATTCCGTCACTGATTTGCTGCTTGTTTGGAGGCTAGTATATGTTGTGAAGAGATGCAGTTTATATATATTCAGAAGTTGAACATCCTATGTGCTATTGTGTGAGTGTGTTTGAGTTAGGGTTAGCTGTTTAATGCTCTCCCAATTCCATGTCTCCACATGTCGGTGCATGGGTTCCATTGTTCATCCCAGCTCACTTCTTTTCTTTCTTTTCCTTTTCTCTTCCAAAACTTGGGCACTTTTGCACCTTATGTAAATGTGCACATTGACCGTGCTAGTGTGTTGCATTCTTGTGGATGACTAAAGTCTAGGCAAGTAGAAATTAGTGATCTTACTTTTGAAAGTTACATGATTTGGAAATTAATGTACTATTAGCAGTTTAAATGGAGTTATATGGATTTCTTAATGGATTTAACTCATCTAGTTTCATATGACTAGTTTTACATGATCTGTGAAATAAGCACCAATGGCAATGTTTTGCTATTGGACATTAGTGCCCTCTATGAATCAGGGAGGGAGGCAACAACTCCCTTACCACCCCTCCATTTTTCTCTGTTAACAAACAAACTTTTCCCTTGCATTTACAAGCTGTATCCTCAAATGTATGCACTCATGCAAATATTGTGGTTAGATAGAGTAAAACACAGTTTCTAGTGACAATTGTGTGCAATGAGATGTTGGAGTTGTATTATGATGTGGAAATGTAGTAATTCAACTCAAAGTTAGTTGATTTCTATAGTTAATTGGTACGATACTTTGATTTAGGTTCTTTCATTCGGATATGATAATATCTTACTGCATAAAGACCACTAGTAAAAGTTCAAGTGCTCTTGGCTAATATGTTCACATGTTGTTTGCTCGGCAGGAAAAGAGCAACTCCAATGGGTACCATGCATTTGCTCCTCGAGGAACAACAGTTAAGTCTAATGACTGAAACTTAGCTCTTTTAGTAAGAATGTCTTTGTTTAAAATGTTTAAATTGATAGAAGCAGGATTTAGAGGAGTTGGTGATGTTCTCTTGCACGACAGCAGCATCCATTTCATTTTGTGATGTCCTCTGACAAGTCTAGTGACTGAAACTTGGTGACAAGTCTAGTGACTTTTGTTTTGTTTCCTCTCTTTTATCTAATTGAATTCCTTGCCAAACAGCCGCCAATTCTATTTCCTCTGTTGATAATTTTGTTTGTTTTGTATTCTCTCTTATTCGGTATTATTGCATTCATTTTTTGTTTTGTTTAACTAAAAATGAAAAAAAAAGGAACATGTTGGACCTTGAAACCGACCCTGGAATGTCACGCCCCGAACCCCATCGAGCTCGCGACATCCCCTGCTCTGGTCGAAATGATGCGACGTCCCAAGAACGTCGCCGACCCAACCCAAACATCAGAGCCACATGCGGAAGCGAAATATAAAAACACCCCGGACAGAAAGATGACGACAACGGGGTAGAACAACAAAACAATCCAGCAACCACATATTCATACAACATCAAATATACAAACATTGTAATACAAACATATATAGCAACCAGCATCCGGAATCACCGTCATAACAAAAGATCAGGGTTTGGTTAACTTAACTTCCCTATGGGTCAACCCAATATATACAACCCCTAAAATGGCCTAGGGAAAAACCTAAGGATCGCCCTTCTCCATTCTGCCCCTAATTCATCTGGCTCATTCCTTTGGAAATCTCTTGGGCATCGCCTGCAAATCCACCGGTACCATGGGCGGCTCTTCGTACTTCAAAAAGAGGAGGCGGTTCCCTGGGTTTATGGCTGGGGGTCTGAAAGTGGCGGTTATACAACCATGAGACGAATCTCAATAAGTGTACAACCCCAAACCCCACGTAGGCACTCACGTACCACCAGACGAAAACACACATAACACACAATAACCAGCCAAACTAACAATCACATGCGACCCTACCTGGAATTCCTCACGCACGACCCTGCACGTTAGTCAACCACACAGCCAGTATGCCACAGAAATACATCACCGCCGCGCGCGTGCCCCGGTTTTAGAGCAAAACCCACTTGGGCACGTCCCATACCATGCCTAGCAGTTTTTACCCCATAATCGAGCATCACATCACGCGATACAAACACACTCGCATCCCAACTCACACCACACGACACGCCACTTTCTTAATTTCACTCGTCCCGCCAATTCTTGCTCATTCTCAACCTTTCCACCACTACCGCGCCCGCGTAAAACGCATCAGGCCAACGGTCTTCTGACCTCGTTAGGCATCGTCACCCCGTCGGGCCGGGCATCGTCACCTCGTCAGGGATGGCATCGTCCCGCGTAAACGAACACGCCTCAGGACGGAATCCTACACACACTTTCCTTCTACCGTGCCCGCGTAAAACGCATCAGGCCAACGGTCTTCTGACCACGTCAGGCATCGACACCTCGTCAGGGACGGCATCGTCCCACGTAAACGAACACGCCTCAGGACGGATCCTTTCCAACCAATCCCACATTTCCAAACCTTCGTTCCACACTCTCCACACGCACCACGCCACCACACAAACACATTGCCAAACATACACACTTCACACACATTCCATAATTTCGCATTCTCGTCACACGAACACGCACCACTTAACCACACGCTCTTGGCACGCGAATTCAATGCACATTCACATCACCATATCACCACACTTCACGGCTACACAAACACGGCACGCCACCACACCACATTTAGCCCAATGCACAAACCAAATCAGCTCACAACGATTTCCAAGCCAACCAACAAGCACAATCACACAACCGCGCACAAATTTCCATTCAAGGCACAATCCCATTAATTAATCGCACAAATTAATTCCGATCAAACCCCAACATCACAGCCCTAATCCAAGCTCCCTAAACCTCAAAATTTCATCGCCTAATCAGTCCGAGAGAGATAAAAACCGAGAGTGAACAAAATCGGGTCCAAACTGGGCAGTTACATAGTGACAGAAATCCATTTGAAATAAATAGTAAATCAATTCGAAAAATTCTGAAATTTGGATATGTTGTACAAAAAATCTTTATGAACATTTTCCATGAGAACTCAAACCCAATTCTAACCGTAAACACCTCGTTTTGACACTCAAAGTCAGACAAAATCCGGTTCGCTCGGACAGCCCCTCAGGCCATCAAAATACAACTCATTCGGCACCCAAATCATTTTGTAAAACCTTGAAATTTTTATATATTATAGCCACAAATGTCCCCAACAATTTTTGTGAAGGAAGTATTTTGAAAATAGGCCTGGAAAAATTTATAAAAATTCGAACAGACCCGAAGGTCGGGTGAACAGTAAATCGGGCAATTTTATTTCGGCCCAAAGATAGACTTCCGAATGGCATCAAATGATTTCCAAAAATTCCCAAATTAAAATATGTTATATTTCAAGATGTTGGGAACAATTTTCATGAAGAAACCTTCCTCAAATTCGGGCCACATAAGTCACAGTAAAAATAACAAAAACCAGCGACGCAGGAGCAACCTAACTGGAAATCAGCCAACACACACCACCGAGCAAACCAGCCACTAAACTCACCCTAAACCGAGCCCTAAACAAGCCTAACAATACCCGAGGTCCTAGGCGACATTTGGGGAGGTCACTTACCTAAAAAGCGAGGCAGAACGGGGCTGGAACGGTGGCTGAAACGGCGGAACAACAGCAGCAGCAGCAGCAGCAGCAGCAGCGGTGATGGAAGGAAAAGAAGATGAAGAGAGTGAGAGAGAGAGAGAGAAAGAGAGAGAGAGAAACTGATCGTGAGGGGGGGGAGTGACCAGCTTGGGGAACAAGAATGGGAGGAGAGAGAGAGGTTTGACTAGTTGGACCAACATTTCCAAAAATGCCCAAAATGCCCTTAAACACTTGGCCCACATTAATCCTTATCCAATAATTCAAGAGCAATGTGGTAAATCAATAATTTCAATTTCTTTTTTCACTTATTTTAGTCCTCAATTATTGCCCAAAATTGTCCAAAATTCGGAATTCCCAATACCGGGTCCAGGGGCAAAATGGTAATTTTCCGGTCCCGGGGCGAAATTCCAATTTTCGCACATACGGGTTCCATATGGGCGTGGCCAACATAATATAGTGTCGGATCCGCGAAATTCACTTTTTAAGCCCTCGGAAATTGACTGCAAAGTTTCGGGAATAAAATAATATTATTTTTCGCTTCCGAGCCAAAATTCCAATTTTTTACTGTAACGACTCTAAATGCACGTGGCCACCCCAAAATGACGCTAGCCTCGAAAAATAACCTCAAATGACCTCAAAATCCAACATTGGTGTCCTCAGGGGCAAAACCGTAATTTTTCCGGTCCCGAATCCAAATCCATTTTTTTGCAGAAATGGGTGGCCCCAAGGTTGGCCAAGCTAAAAACGTCATCGGCTGCTCAAAATTGTCACTTTCAAAATTCTCGATTCCCGGGCCCGAATTCCAAGAAATGACTAAAATTGAACAATCGCAACTTTAGCTTATCTCTGGCTAACGGGTGGCTCTCTGGAATTACGCGCTCTCGACCCGTGATCGACACTAAGTCAAATCACGTTTAAGTTTACTCTACCCAGGACGACCTCGGTTGTCATATAATTGCGAGGGTCTGTCACTAGTTCCCTTCGGACACGATCAATCAGATAGACCGGTCTCGGTTGGCTCAAAACATTCCCTCGTCAATTCATATGGTCGAAGATCGAACCCAGGTCGAGTTCTTTGGTCGTGCGAACTCAATCCCGTAACGGCCCTACCCCTAAGGTTAGCATCCTGTGAATGCACATTTCCGGGTGAGACCTCACTATAGTGCATTGGTCAAATTCATTTCTTAAATCCCGGGAAAAGGATCGAAAATTCAGACTGTTACATGGAACCTATGACAGGGTAGGTTCTAAGTTCCAGGTTCCGACAGGTAGGTTCCAGGTTCCAAAAAATGAGGAACCTGTGCCCAAGGGTAGGTCCTTGATTCCAGGTGGAACCTGTAAGGAACCTGGAACCGCTCACCCCTAATGCAAATTGCATAATCGGTGATGTGCAATTGTAGACGCATTCCATGCTTTCGAGTACGATCACAAGGAGATGGAAGGTTGAATGAGATCATGAGAGATGGGAATGAGTATTTGGACGAGATGCGTGGCTGCGTGGTTTTATGAATTATGTTTGGAAAAAGGAAAATAGTGAAGGAAGGAAAAGGATGAAGGGCATGAAAATAGAGAAGATGGAAAGTCTAAAGGACTCACGTACCCAAAGGACAAAGGTGAAGGAGCATAGAGAATCCAATTCTTTTGTTTTTTTTTTATTATTTTGAATCAGAATATAGAAAGATTAATATCACGAAAAACTCCAAACTAATACACCTGTGACAATTTTATCTCGAACTAATTTTTTGACCACCAAAAACTCTAAACTAGTCTACCTTTGACAAATTTAGCCCGAACTATTTTTTTGACTATCAAAAACCCCACACTGGTACACTTGCGACAATTTTATCCCGAACTAATTTTTTGACTACCAAAAACCCCAAACTGGTATACCTTTGACAATTTTACCCCAAATCGGTAATTTTGTGACAAATTTACCCTTCGTTACCGTTAAATTGGATTAATATCACAAAAAATCACAAATTGGTAAACTTGTGACAAACAGAGGGGTAATACCAAACTGGTACACTAGTCAACTATCTCGTGTCGTCAAACTTAGCAATTTGACAGTAAAATTTAACGAAATCTAACAGAGGGTAAATTTGTTACAAGTATACCAGTTTGGGGTTTTTGGTGTTCAAAAATATAGTTTGGGGTAAAATTATCACAGGTGTATCAATTTTGGGATTTTTCTTGATCAAAAAATTAGTTCGGGGTAAAATTATCATAGGTGTACCAGTTTGAGGATTTTTATGGTCAAAAAAATAGTTTGGGGTAAATTTGTCACAGGTGTATCAGTTCGGGATTTTTCGTGGTATTAACCCAATATAGAATCCAACAATCTTAAAAGAGTAGTAAACTGTGGAACTACCTTCATGCCAGCAGAGATTTTATGGAGAAAATTACGAGGTATTGGGTGATCATAATATTCTTACTTAAAAACAAGATCAGACCAATTTTCTAGGACTAGTTCTTGAAACTTATTCACATGCTGCAAATGCCATTACATGTACATGCCTTTAATAGCCCTTTCTATCCAAATAACAGACAAATGACCTTGCATCTCTCTCCCTCTGACGTATATTGAACACACTTCATTACCCAATTAAAACTTCAAAGTTGTTCATTAGGGCCTCATTATGTAAATTGGAAAATTTGGGGTCCTAATAGCAACGTTTGGAGGGTAAATTTGCTAAAAATTCCGAATAAGGTCCTTTCGGCCTCAAAATTGTTTTGTAAATGAGTTCTCGGTGAAAACCGATTTTTATAAATAAAAAAAAATCAAGGGCTTTAAAGTAAAAACTCAGAATATAAAAGTTGTTAGGCATAAGGAATCCTAACTACCTAAACAATTTCACGCGGTTTGGATAACGTTTGTTATTTTTCCTACCTTTATTTTGAAATCTCTAGCAAAACTAGGTCAAGTTTACCCTTCCGAGTTAAATCTTGATTTTCGGAAAAATTGCGTGGGAATTAAGCAAAATGGTCTTCTTCTTTTGATCCTCATGATCTAAGCTTTCTAAAGACACCTGATTTACATCATTTGGACATCATTAAACTGATTAATCACTTTTGAACATAAGATGTTCGAATTTGATAATAAAGACCGATGTCCAATCTGGTCTCGATTTGCACACAATTCATGTTACTCAATCATGTCTCAGGTCTTTTTATTCGTGATGTATTAAACACTCGACGAGTTGTGGGTTTTTCTTTCCTCGCACTTAGAATAGCATGTCTTTCAATACTTTGTGTGTTTACTTCACGCATCACCATTTTAATACAAATTGCTTGTTTCTTTCCTTTTCTTGTCACGCCCTGAACCCTATGGGCGAGCGACTATCCCTCCGAGGATCGCAAAGGACGCGACGTCCCAGGACTCGTCGCCGACACAAAACCGCAATATGACAAACACGCGCAAGCGGAAGCAAATAAAAAACCCCGGACAATGAATAATTAAAATGGGGTAGTAGAAAGACACAATTTCAAAACAACGAATGCAATTTTATACGCTTGGCATAAATTACATCGTTCATTTATACAGTTTCAAAATGGGCTACTCACAACTTCCAACCACATTGAACAAAAAGGAATAGTGGTGGAAAATCTTAACTCCTCTACTAAAAAAGAATGGGGCACACACAAAAGTCGGGGCGACCCGGCCTATCCTCGGTCCCCGTGGTGCCCTGGCACCACCTTCGAAACGGTCATGGTCACGGATCTGAAATAGTTAATTCAACAATGAGGATGAAATTCTCAATAAACAACAACCTAAACCCTACATAGGTCAATGCGTACCCCCGACAAGTTTAAGCACACGATCTAATCACGCGTAATAAACTCACATGCACGTACCCGGCTCATTTCGAATCATGGGCCATCTTTGCATATACACCCATTTGCTATAATACGATCACATCACACAGACATACTCAAATCATACAATCGCCATACACGTGCACATTCGTACTATCCAGCCATGACCCGCGTAAACAAGCCTCAGGTCCTTTCCCACAACCGGCATCAACACGCCTCAGGTTGATAGCCCTCCAATCGGGCTTGTCCCGCGTAACACGCCTCAGGACATTTTCCAACCGCGCGTAAACACGCCTCAGGGTATACTTACATTTTCATGCCATCCAACTGCAACCCGCGTGAATACGCCTCAGGTCTTTTCTCACAACCCGCGTAAACACGCCTCAGGTTGGTAGCCCTCCGATCGATCCGGGATTGTCCTGCGTAACACACCTCAGGACATTCTAAACCACGCGTCAACACGCCTGAGGGTATCTCAAACCACACTCGCCACACAGTTCAATCAATTTCCACATCATTCACGTAATCAAACCAAACAATAATATACTCACTCGCCAACCATTCTAATCAAACCGAGTAATCATAAATTCACTATAATTCCCACAAAATTACTCACAATAAATCAAGCACACGAAAATTCCAATAGGCCGTCAAGCTCGACCCCCTAACCTTGCACGTCCTACTCATATTTCCAGCATCAATTTCAACCTCCAAAACATCACAAATTGACCCCCAACCTCGACCCTCAAACCGGCCATAATCAACCCACATATCGACACTAACAGATCACCATCGACCCCAAATTTCACTCGCAAAAGCCACAATGAACCAGCCATATTCACAACCACTAAATCGCCACATTTAACTCACATTCAACATCGCAACATAACCAACGCCACCCAACAATCCAGTCATTAATCAGATCAACACCGACCGTTACCCAGCCACAAAGTCATTACGGATTGACCCCGATACCAGCCACGATTAACCACTAATCGGCCCTCCACTCGGCGCACAATTAACCCCTAAATCTCCCTAATCTATCCCTAAACAAGCCCAATAATACCCATTATACTAGGTAGGGGTTAGGGAGTCGCTTACAAAGCTTTAGGGCGGCGGGGGTAGGGTCGGGACAGTCTGGGACAGCGGCGGCCGGTGAGACGGCGGCAAGCCGTGGCGAAGCAGCTGGTTCAACAAAGGGGACTCGTCTACAGCTGGTGCGGGCCGGCCGACCAAGGGCTGCAGCAATCCGGCGAGGCAGCAAGGGGCTCGCCGGACCTGCAACAGCTCCGGCGGCGATGGGCGGACAGAAGGCCGAACGACCGAACAGGGGAGGGGAGGCGCTGGGTTGGCCGGAACAGGGGAGGGGGTGGTGCTGGTGGCCGGCCAGGCGATGATGTGGCGGTCGGTGGCTGAGGCAGCGACGGCTGGCCGGGCGGCTCGCGACGGTAAGCAACGCCAGCACGGCCAAATCTGGCCCGAGCCGGAGGGAAAGAGAGAAGGGAAGGGAGAGATGGGAACGGTCGGGCTCGGGACGATCGGCGGCATGGACGACGACTCCGGGTCGACGGGAACGCCGTCCGGACGGGCGGTGAGGCTCACGGCGGTGGACAGCGGCGCGGTGGAAGACGCGCGCGGAAAAGGGTGGGAAAACCAGATCTAAAGCAAAGGGGGGGAAGGGTTAATGGCGGAGGGAAATGGCTGGAGGGGTGGTAGTGGCGGTGGCGACGGTGGCTGGAGCGGCGGTGGGTGGCTGCGAACTCCGGCGATCGGCACTCCGGACGATTTGCTGCTCGCAGCCGAGAGGAGAGGAGGACGGGTGGCTCAGCTGGGGCAGGCTCGCGACGACGACGCTGGCTGGTCGAGCGACCGGACGGCCAGGGGAGTGAGTGGCACGCGGCTTCGGAGCCGAACGCGCGGCGGTGGCTGGCGGTGGCGCGGTCGAGAAAGGGTGAGGGGCGGAAGACAGACGCGGCCGCAAGAGGAAGAGGGAGGGGGACGCACGAGGGGGCGAGGGGAGGAGAGAGAGAGAGAGAGTGTGTTGTGCAAGTTGACCTACTCAAGTCCAATCCAAGGGTCCAAAATTGATCTTGGTGAACAAGCCAAGATCTAACGGCCACGAAAATTCCTAGTTTTCAATTAAAGAAAAAGATTAGAAGACACTAATTCAAATAAACGCCGAGGGAGGTATACTGGTCTAGGTCCGCACCCGGTCCAAATTTCATTTTCTGACAAATCTGGGCAATCTCGAGGCTGACCACATTTATTTTAAAGTCGTCCAATTTATTTCGTCGCGAAACTCCGAAAAATTCGACACCCCAGTTCGGGCTCTAAATAATGGCCAAATTCAATCGGACGCGACTTTAGCGAATCTCAAACTAACGGGCGGTTGTTGGGAATTACGCATGACCGACTCGTGGCCAATACTAAATCGAACCACGTTCGGGTTCATTCGAGCCATGGTGACTCCGGTTGCCCGAAAGTCAGTCCACGATCGAGTCCCCCTAGTCGCGCTAAATTAATTCCCTAGTTAGGCTTTCCCAAATGGTCAGTGTCCCGAGAGTGATTAGTTCCGGGGGAGATTACACTACAAGCGCGTTTGATGAAATACACATTTTATAAATCCTAAAAATGGGTCGAAATTCGGAATGTCACAACTCTTCCCCCTTTACAAAAATTTTGTCCTCGAAATTTACAACCCAACCCAACTAATCAAACAAATGGGGGTATTGACGTCGCATCAATTCTTCACTTTCCCAAGTCGCACCTTCTGTCCCATGATGCTCCCAAAACACCTTGACCATCGGAATCGCCTTGTTCCTTAGCATCCGTTCTGTTCTGTCGCAATCCTTACCGGTTTTTCTACGTATGACATTCTGTCGTCCATGTCTATTTCTTCATAATTCAGCACGTGGGTCAGATCCGGTTCGTATTTCCTTAGCATAGACACGTGGAACACATTGTGAACTTAAGACAAATTTGGCGGCAGCGCAAGACGATAAGCCAAAGTCTCGATCCTTTCCAAAACCTCAAAGGGACCCACATACCTCAGGCTCAACTTCCCTTTCTTGCCAAACTGCGACAATCCTCTCATCGGCGATACTTTTAGAAACACGTGATCTCCCACTTGAAATTCCAAAGGCCTACATCTTCGGTCTGCATAACTCTTTTGGCGACTCTGAGCGGTCTTAAGTCTATCCCGAATCACTTTGACTGCCTCAACTGACTGCTGAACTAGCTCTGGACCTATGATACTTCGCTCCCCGACTTCATCCCAACACACTGGCATTCTACAAGCTCTACCATACAGTGCTTCAAACGGTGCCATTCTGATACTTTGCTGGTAGCTGTTATTGTAGGCAAATTCAACCAAATGCAAATGTTCTTCCCAACTACCCTTGAAGTCTAATACACATGCTCGCAGCATATCCTCTAAAGTCTGTATTGTCCTCTCAGACTGACCATCTGTTTGCGGATGATATGTCGTGCTAAACTGCAACTTCATTCCCAATGATGTCTGGAAACTTTTCCAAAAAGCGACCGTAAATTTAGGATCACGGTCTGAGGTAATCGTCACTGGCACTCCATTTAGACGAACTATCTATTGCACGTAAAGCTCTACGTACCTTTCTAATGCGAAGTCCTTTCGCACCGCCAGAAAATGCGCCGACTTAGTCAATCTGTCGACAATAACCCAAATTGAATCATGGCCTCTTTGGCTCCTTGGCAATCCCATAACAAAATCTATCGTGATGTGCTTTCATTTCCATTCAGGGATTTCCAATGGCTGCAACATTCCACCCGGCTTGCAATATTGCGCTTTCACTTGTTGACATGTTAAACACTTAACCACGTGCTTGGCTACATCCACCTTCATGCCATTCCACCAATAATGATGCCTCATGTTCTGGTACATCTCCGTACTATCCGGGTGAATACTATAATTGCTACGATGGGCTTCTGACAAAATTTCCTCTTTAAGTCCTACATCATCGGGCACGCATAACCGTCCATGAAACTTCAAAACCCCATCCTCAGACACTTGGAAGTCCGATTTCCTCTTAGTGACGTCCATTTCCAGAATTTTTTGAATCTCTACGTCCGTCGATTGTAGAGCCTTAATCTTAGTCTGGATTTCCGGTTTGATTCTCAATGTAGCAAGCAGGCTTGAAACACGACTCTCTTCAAACTTAAACTCCGAATCCCGAACTCCTTCCAACAAGGTCCACTCCTTAACCATCATGTATCCAATACTTGATTTCCGAATCAGAGCATCCGCTACTTTATTAGCCTTCCAGGGATGATACAATATATCGCAGTCATAATCCTTGAGGAGTTCCATCCAACGACGTTGTCTCATATTCAGTTCCTTCTGCGAAAACAAGTACTTGAGGCTCTGGTGGCTCTGGTGATCCGTATAAATCTGAAACTGTTCTCCACATAGGTAGTGCCTCTAAATCTTAAAGGCGAAAATAATCGCGGCCAATTCCAAATCATGCGTCGGGTAGTTCATTTCGTGCGGCCTCAACTGACGCGACGCATATGCAACCACCCTTCCGTGTTGCATCAATACACATCCAAGTCCCCTTAACGACGCATCACTGTAAATATCATACCCTCCCGATCCTAATGGGATAGTCAATACCGGTGCCGCTGTCAACCTATGCTTTAGTTCCTAAAAACTCCTTTCACACTTGTCATTCCATTCAAACTTCGTTTCCTTCTTAAGCAGACGCGTCAACGGTGTGGCTATCGACGAGAACCCTTCTACAAAATGCCTATAATAGCTTGCCAAACCCAAGAAGCTTCGAACCTCGGTTAATGACGTTGGTCACGGCCACTTTGTTACGGCTTCAATCTTAGTCGGATCTACTGAAATTCCATCACCTGAGATTATGTGTCCAAGAAATGCCACTCGACTGAGCTAGAGCTCGCACTTACTAAAATTGGCGTAGAGTGCGTGTTCTCTTAAAGTCTGTAGTACTTCACTTAGATGCACCTCATGTTCTTCCGAGCTCTTCGAGTAAACCAATATATCATCGATGAAGACTATAACAAACTGATCCAAGAACTCCTTAAATACCCGATTCATTAAATCCATAAAGGCAGCAGGGGCATTTGTCAAACCGAAAGGTATCACCGTAAATTCATAATGTCCATATCTCGTCCGAAAGGCCGTCTTAAGTATATCCTCTTTCTTAATCATCAGCTAGTGATATCCCGTCCTTAAGTCAATTTTAGAAAACACCGATGCTCGTTACAACTGATCAAACAGGTCATCTATCCTCGGCAGTGGGTACTTATTCTTGATCGTTACCTGATTCAACTGCCTGTAGTCTATGCACAGCCTCAACGACCCATCCTTCTTTCTTACAAACAGAACCGGTGCTCTCCATGGAGACACACTTAGGCAGATAAAACCCTTGTCCAACAACTCCTGCATTTGGACCTTTAACTCCTTCAATTTTGACAGCGACATTCTGTAAGGTGCTTTCGAAATCGGTTCTGTCCCTAGGGCCAACTCAACCACAAACTCCACTTCACTATCAGGTGGCAATCCCGGTAATTCCTGAGGAAAGACATCGGGAAGGTTACACACCTCAGCTATGTCCTTTAGCCTTGGTTCCTCAACCAACTAGTCAACCACAAAATAATTATTTTTCTATATCTCAAAGACAAGACTCAATCCATCCAATTTCAATCCACAGTCTCCCAAAACAAATTACCCCAGTTCTTTACAGAATCCGAAATTTCCAAGCAACACAACTCCTTCCCAACCCGTCCAAAAATGTCATTAGTAATTTAGAAATCCTCAACTGATTGCGCCTACTCACCATAAGTGATTATAAGTCTTACATGACCATTCAAGTTATAATTTCAAAATCTTCTCTTGTTGCACCCACTATCATCACATAACGCATCCAGACTTTCAAGACAAATCCTCTGATTCCTTCCCAACCACCGCGTACATCTTTCCTTGTGCCTACGGTTAATCTGGTTATTCCGCGGGGCAGCTCCCACTTAATGTCCTATTTGCGGTTGTTGTTGCTGTATTAACGGTCTAGCTTATCAGTTCGGGCAGTTTCTCACTTGGTGACCATGTTGGCCACATCCAATTTACGCTCTAGGCCCACCTGGGCAAGGGCCATTTCCGTGCCTCTTTCCA